TGTGGGAGACTTGCCTGTGAATGAATGGGCCTCTTCAGTGCCAGAGTTTTTGTTTTAGAAATTGTGGGGCGAATAGGGAAGTTATAGGGAATACAGCGGCTGATAGAAATTAAAACAGAGTTTGATTCCATCTCCTAAACCTGACCACACGCACCAGTCAGCAGTCAAAAATACCCATACGCGTCAGACATTGCTCCACCTGAGAATAAATTGCCTGGCTGTTACCAGCTTTATATAATGGCTACGGTGTATTGTCCCTGCTTGCTTTCCTTTGCCCAGAACAGGTGCTATTTTGGACTTGACAAGCATATCTGCTAATTAAGTTTTAGAAAATCGGAAAGGTTTTTAAAGTGGATTATTTAAGAAAGGTACCAGAGTTGCCTGTTGGTACCCTTCTGCTGTACATCAAGTTGTGTTTTGTAACAGCTGAATTGTCATGATATCTATTTCAAGGGGAACTTTATTGAGTCACAGTGTGCTCTTCTGTTTGGAAGAAATATTTGAGGATGTGAGCAGAAAGTATTTTTACGTAAAGGCTGCAGGCAGTTAAGAGCACTGACATACATGTGTTTTCATCACTGCCATTCGCTCCCTTTGCCTCAAATAAATAGGTCATTATTTCATTTCAGCCGTCATGTGGCGCCTCTAAGTATGGAGCTCTGTTTAATATAACTGCTGTCCAGCTGACCGTATAATTTATTAGTGACTTTTACAGAGTGACATCCTTGGGCCACCATCAGCAGCCAAGGCAGTTAGATATCTTTCAGCAAAGTACTTCATCATCACTCATAATATTTTTAGCATTAGTTTTACAGCCATGTTAACAAAGCTAGGAACTGTCATTTTCTGAGACATGGGATTTCAGGTCGGCCTTAGAAATTTCAAAAGATAATTCAGTAATGACGATCCCGCGGTGGGTCTGCAGAGCATGGCCTGTGCCAGAGCACAGCACCGGGCCAGCATCCGCAGGTGGCCAAACGTTCCCAAATGACCTATTCCATAAGAACACTTCAAGGTGATCTGGTCTTACATTACTTAATTATAAGTAATAATTAAGAATGTTTAGACTTTTTAAGAAGCAAACAAACCCTCGGATTTTGTTTTAGTATCTTCATTGCTTAAAACCAAAATCATAGTCAACTCCTCTCTCATGTCCTGTGCAAATGTTTTACAGCCAGGATATGAATGAAATGTGCTACTCAGAATATACTGGGATTCCAAGGAAAGACTAAAAGTATATAGTTATTTCCACAGGAACTGTTCTAGTAAGAGCATGATTGAGTGGCAATGGGCTTGAAGTCATAGTAGGTGCCAGACGCAGTATCTGTAAGCCTTGGCTGTGTGGCAGGGGCTAAGGCCTGTCGCCTGCGTTCCTTTTATACCTGGGCGACTCTCCTTTGTGTTGCTAATGAACTTCCTTCAGGTGGAGGGGATCTCCCTCATGGCCCAGGGGACCAGTTTGGTGTTCTAGCCCCTCCAGGCAAGTCCCACACTTGCGACAGTTAAGGCATTTGAGTCATCCAGCTTAATTTTGCCTTCATTTTCTCACTAGATTGGGCTGTCCCAAGGAAATAGGGGTGTTGTCCTTCCTTTCCATTCTCCTACCAGGGCCAGTCAAACCGCCTCGAAAAGTTTGCTTGACTGGCAGGAATTCCCTTTCCCTTGTTCTTTTCCCAGATCAGGGAATAAACTGCCCCTTGGCCCAGGTTCTGAATTCCGTTTGGCACAGCAACCCGAGGAAAACGAGCACCCATCCCTTCGCTTCCCCTGACCACCTTCTCTTTGTCGTCAGCCCACCAGCTTTCCGCTGCATCAGGCCAGGCCCACTGCCCCCTCCCTCTCCACAGGCCTCCTGCGCCCATGTTCTCACCCCAGGTTAATTCCCCGGATCGGAGGTCTCGGTGGGTTTTGTTTTCATTTGTTCCTCAGGCACCGAGAATTACTGTTTATGGTGGTGCTGATAATCTCTTCCTTATCCCTCCAGCTTCCTCCTTCTAATCCTCTGCCAGAGGCCGGTTTGTTTCTGGGTGGGTTTGGCTGGAAGCCATCTGGGGCGGGCACCCTTGCCCGCGCTTTCCCACAGCAGCTTGCCACAAAGGACCCTTCCGCAGAGCTGTGACAGCAGGTGGACGTCCTTCATTTACGCTAAGTGCAGCTCCTCTGTGCCGTCTCATTTTTTTGGAATAGTATTTATCTTTGACCTTTGTTTCTTAATGTGACAGTTTTATAAGGGAGGGAGTAAGCTGAGCTGATGTATAATTACACTGAGCTCCTTGAGAGCAGGGACACGGAGCCTGCACTCTTGGATCCACCCTACTCCCAGCACATAGTAGTTGCTTAATAAATGTTCGGATTTGACATCTAGAGAAATGATGGTGGTGGTGATAATAACAGCTACCAAGTATTCAGTTTTATGAGAAGCTGGACACAGTGTAAGTGCTTTGTATTATCTCTCTTAATCCCCCCGACAGGTCTGTGAGATAGCTTTTAATTACTGGGATATCCCCATTTTGCTGAGAAACTGGCCCACGGTCTTTAAAAGATTTACCTGAGATTCTGCAGCTCGAAAGCAGTCCCTCTCTTCCTCTTCCTGATCAACCACTGTACCTTTTGCTGTAAGACACCTTCTGTTCTGTATGCGGGGATTAGGTACCAGTGTTCATCCACATTGCAGCTTCTTCAAGGCGAGAACCGTGTCATACTCCCCCGTATCCCCTGCCGTGCCAGGTGCCGCATTGGACATTTGACAGTTGCCTCACCTTTTGCTTTTGAATCAAACTCTTCTCTCCTCCTACCTGTGCTGTGGAGCATTGAGGACATTTATGAGGGGCCCTGACCACTGTCGCTAAGGTCAAAAGCAACAAACCAAAGCAGATCAGTAGATAAGCCTGACGTCAGTGGATCTGGAAGCCCTGACTTTCTGCCATGTCTGGAGAGGTTTCCTGAAGGGCACGTCCAGTGCTGCCTGGGCGCTGGGTAAATCAAGAAAGTGTGAGTTTCTGAGAGTAGAACTGTAAGAAACTGACCTGTAAGGCTGCCCAGGATTTTATTGAGGTTCCAAAGAATTATAGTTGGTAGGTCCTCCCTCGTTCCCACACAGTAACTAACCGAACTGCCTGTACAGCATAGACTCCCCTTGTCCGTGGTTTCACTTCCCCTGGTTTTAGTTACCTGTGGTCAGCCATAGTCAGAACATATTACATGGAAGATTCCAGAAATAACAGTTCATACTTTTTAAATTATGAGCAGTTCTAATAAGCATGATGAAAGCTCGTGCCATCCAGCCCCATCCCGCCTGGATGTGAATCACCCCTTTGTCCAGCATCTCCACACTGGGTGCCCCCTGCCGGTCAGCCGCTTAGTAGCCATCTCAGTGGTCACATTGACTGTCGCAGGATCAACACCAGCTTGTGTTCAAGGCACCTTTATTTTACTTAGTAATGGCCCCAAAGCACAAGAGTGGGATGCTGGCAATTCTCATAGGCCAACAAGAAGCCTAAAGTGCCTCCTTTAAGTGACAAGGAGAAAAATCTTCATTTAATAAGGAAAGAAAATAAAAATTCTGTGCTAAGGTTGCTAAGACCTACGGTAAGAATAAGCCTTCCCTCCATGAAATTGTGAGGTAGGAAAAAGAAATCTGTGCCAATTCCGCTGTCGCGTCTCCAACTGCAAAGGTTATGGCCACAGTGTGTGATAGATGAGTGCTTAGTTAAGGCGGAAAGACATTAAATTTGTGGGTGGAAGATGGACAGAAAACGTGTCCCGATTGATGGCAACGTGTTGCACCAGAGAGCCCTGAGCCCACCAGCAAGGGGTCCCCTGAAACGAGGGACACCAGGCCATTTACTGCAAGTGAGGGCTGGTCGCACAGATTCAGGAACGGGTTTGCACTGAAAAATGTAAAAATTATGAGAGAGAGAAAGAGAGACAATGAGAGAGAGAGGGCACATTCACAGAACTTACTACAGTCCGGTGGACCCTTAAACAACACGGATTGGAACTGCGAGGGCCCACTGATAGGTGAATTTTTTTTTCTGTAAATATGTATAATACTGTAAATGTATCTTCTCTTCCTTAGGGTTTTCTGAATAGCATTTTCTCTTCTCTTGCTCACTTCATTGTAAGAGCGCAGTACATAATACACACGTATGTATATGAATACATAGAACATGCACAACACGTGTTACTAGAATGTTCGTGTGGTGGTTCTGGTCAACAGTAGGCTATGAGTGACTAAGTTTGGGGGAGTCAAATGTTATACGCGGCTTTTCTACTGCATGAGTGGCTGGCACCCTTAGGCCCCACGTTGTTCAAGAGCCAACTGTATATTGTTATAATTGTTCCACTGTGCTCTTGTTGTTAATCTCTTACTGTGACCAATTTATAAATTACACTTTATCGTCGGTATGTATGTATGTATGGGAAAAAGCATAGTCTATACAGGTTTTAGGCATCCACAGGGGGTCTTGGAACATATCCCCTGTGGATAAGGGAGGACCACTGTGCATTGAGAAAGCCGACGTCCACTAACAAGACAAGATTGTTTACTGCGCCATCCTACCTACTTCTGTTAGGCAGTCCCTTGAGTTTCCTGTGGGTGACCAAAGAGCTCAGCTCCAGGGAACGTGAGCCAAGGTTGGGTCTACATCAGCTCCCACTCAGCCCGTGAGCGCCGCAGCCCCTCGTAAAGCCAGTGCTCCGACCTGTCCTCCTCTCTCTGGCGCCCACTCAGCTCCTGGAGTCCTGGAGCTGGGCCGTTAGCACTACGGCCTTCGATGGCACGTCCATTCCAAGTGGTGGTATTTTGTCCCCAGATCTATGTTGGAGTAATAGGCTCATGTTGTGGCCCATAGAGAGAGGAGAGGGATGGGAGCCCCACCAAATGTTGCTGCTGGTTTCCATTTTCTAATGTGCGTCCTGTCACTTACTTTAATTGATCCCATTAACCAAACTTTAATTGATGGAATTTTTTTCCTGACCTTTTCCCTCCTTTTTTAAAGGTGATGGACAGAATTTGTTTACGAAAGACGTGACAGTTATCGAGGGAGAAGTTGCGACCATCAGCTGCCAAGTCAACAAGAGTGACGACTCTGTCATTCAACTACTGAATCCCAACAGGCAGACCATTTATTTCAGGGACTTCAGGCGTAAGTTTCCATCTCTATAGCATTAGACGGCAACTTTTCTTCCCCACATGTTGTCTTGATAAAGAGATTGCCAAGGCTCCTTTTTTTAATTTAATGTTAGATGCTTAAAGTTTAGTCAGTTCTTCAGAGGGGAGAAGAGACATGCAATCATAATCTTCCTACTTAATAGAAACCTTGAATGGTCCCTTTTAAAAGTAAGGCAGTCTTACTTTGCAATAGGAATTGATTGTAGTAATTCAAGGTGAATTGCAGTTGAGTCCCAAATACTTAGCTGACACCAACAACTCAAATAGGGTAAGGCAAGGAAAATAGAGCATTCTGAAAGGTAACCTGTTTGGTTTGAAGATTGAAATTTTCAAGGCAATTTGTACCTGTAGAGACAAAACCACGTCTCCTGTCACCATAGCGCCTCTGGTACGCGGGGGTGTCCATGTACGAAAATCTTCCCAAATGTAATATCACAAAAGTGAATACTGGAAGCCTAATTGTATGTCCCAGCAATGGCTCAGGAGGGCGTCAGGGCTCATCAGGAACAGGAGTGGGGTCTTTTGAAGACTTGTTTGAAGAGAGTTGGAGCCTAACCGAAACGGGCACTGGGCACGAGCCCTTCGCCTCCTGCCTCCAGTCTCGCCCCCGTGTTCTCATGACCCGTGGGAGTCGGTAAGTGCGGAGGATGTTTAAGAAGATAAAGGGGAGTAAAAGGAGAGGAGCTGGTTTCTCAAGCTTAGGGTGCATTTTTGTCATGTACTAATATGGCCTTTGCCAGAATTACTATAAGGACCTTAAATGTGAATATTTGATACAAACAAATGAGCACACAAACATTGCTTCTGTGGGGACTCTGCTTCCCTGCTTTCTGCCTGGTCGGCTCCACGCTGTGCTGCAGGCGGGCTCAAGGCCTCCCCAGCCCGGGGCCCTTCTGCTGGCAGTTCCATCCACATCATCTCAAATAAGACCAATTACAAAGATACACCCAAGTTAAACTGGATTATTTTTATAAAGTTTTTTATGATTTTCATTGTGACTTGAAATTCTGATGAAATTTTGGTTTTCTCTCATAATTTGGAACCACTATGTTTTTAAGGCCTCCGATATTTAGAGACAATTTAAAATCTTGTAAGTCCTGCTCCCTGAACTTCCAGGGCTCAAGGGGCCTCAGGGCCCACCTTCCCCTTTCCTTTTCCTCTCACCTCTAACTCTGATAGAGCACCCAGGGCTCAACTCTGACTGCACTGGGACTGGGGCGGAGGGCGTGGTGCGTGTGCGTGCACGTGCGCATGGACTTTCACACCCACACTTGCACCCATGTGTGTCAGTTTCCTTCGGACAGGGTTACTTGTCTCCAAGTGGTTAGTACAGAAGCCCAAACAGTGCTCAGGAAGTGCCAGGGCTACGCCCCCAACAGGTGCAGAGAGACTGTTTCTACTCTGCGGCTGCCCTGCTAGCCACCTGGCATCTCCCCCACCTGGTAAGGAAGGTAGACTGTCGCCGTCTTCTCACAAGCCCTGTGCTTTGTTTCGCAGCTTTGAAGGACAGCAGGTTTCAGCTGCTGAATTTTTCCAGCAGTGAACTCAAAGTGTCGCTGACAAATGTCTCCATTTCTGATGAAGGAAGATACTTTTGCCAGCTCTACACCGACCCCCCACAGGAAAGTTACACCACCATCACAGTACTGGGTAAGAGACCCGGGGTTGTCCTGGGAAACGGAGGGGGCGGCTCTCACCTCCAGATGGCTTCCAGCGGCAGGGAAAAGGTTAATGGCGAATTGTACTCTTCCACTGAGTTTTAGGAGGAATCACTGCCCATCTTGCTGACTTTTTAAATAGCCTGTTTTAGCAAACACTCTAAGGAATGGCAGTCAGCAGTCTTTGCAGATTCCACCTGCTCTTGGGTTTTAAATCTCAAGCTTCAGAAGCAAAGATCAGGAGCACTTGGAACCCTCAGATGAATCGCTCACCATGTGGATGTCATTGCTTCTCACTACTGAAGTTTTCTTCTGTGCAGGAGAGGGGCAGTGGCTCCCGCGACTGTGCCCGTGGCAGAGCCCTGCTCCAAGGACCGCTCGATGGTGTCACCTTCTACATTACACCCCCTTCAGTGCTCTCCTTTTCTTTAGCTTTACTTATTGCCTCGCTCACTGTGTATACTCTAGATTATGCTGTAAAAATCATATCTCATGAACATGTACTTTGCCACAAATTGCAACCATTGGACATAAAAGAATTAGGAGCTTCTCGGGAGAAGGCTGATAATAAGGGAGCAGTAGATAGGCTGCCGGGCACCGCTAGAGAGGCCAGCGCCTTCCTTTCTGGTCACAAGATTGTGACTTTCAGCAAAATTCCCGTGGCCAGGTTTCCGCATGTGTATTTTGAGGTAGTGAGCAGATACCCCTGTGTTGGAGGTGGTCAAATCAGTCCCCTTGAGACAAACTTATACGCCAGTGCACAACTCCAGCTGACCAGGTTTTTGAAACCAAGTTTTCAAGGACTTGCGCTGCAGCTCGAGGCAGGACCTCTGATTTACACCTTTGGGAAGACGATGAATCACAGTCTATTTGGGGCGCAGGCTGCAGCTTTCAGCGTAATGATATGAAGATTATATGAAGATTAAGGAGGAAAGATAAATATGAAGGACGGTTTTGCTTGGTGTGTGTGACCATATATGTATTTATGGATGTACATATTGAGCTCCTGCCTCATCACTTTATTTAAACACAGCTGTAAAAGGGAAAACATTTTTTTATTCATTAAACTAAAACATGCCCCTAACGCTCATATACATGTTCTTGATGAGAGGAATACTGACTTTGGAAAGTCACCTGTCAAGTCTGTCCGCCCGGTTTCCACTGTGGTCTGTGTTTAATGGTGGACGGCGCTCAGGAGTGCCTCCTTGTCCGTGTCAGACCTGCAGACCAGTGAGCACAGGTTTGGCTGGGACGACTACGCTGGTATTTTGAAAATGTACCAGAATCATAAGCATGCATTTGACTTTTCTGTCCATCTACTTGTACAGAAGCATCTGAAAATGCTGTTTGCTTATTAAAGTAAGTCATTAGCAGCATAGACTTCAACTGGACAATCCACCCATTGACCCACCGTAGTTTATGGCTTTTCCACAAATGTAACAGCAATCAAGTTGAATATACTTAAAGAATTTTGAATTTTCAGATTGTTTTGTTACATTTACCTTTAAGTATGAATGTCTTTATTTCAAAGAAAGAAGTGGTAGTAACAGAGGTCAGTCATCTGCCCAGCTACAAAGCACAGGGAGAATCCAGAATCATAGGCTGAAGCAGACCTTAGTATTGTCTTGTAACCTTTTTTAAAAAAATATATCTTTATTGATTTCAGAGAGAGGAAAGGAGAAGAAGAGAGATAGAAACATCAATGATGAGAGAGTCATTGATCAGCTGCCTCCTGCACGCCCCTAACTGGGGATCAAGCCCACAGCCTGGGCATGTGCCCTGACCGGGAATCAAACCTCAGTTGCCTGCATCCTAGGTCGATGCTCAGCCACTGAGCCACGCCCTGCTGGGCTGTCTTGTAACCTTTGCATCTTCTAGTCTAGATTTCTTTCAATAAAATCCCAAAAACTACTGTTTCAAGATTTTTTTCCCTAAAGGAGCACATCTTTTGTTTTTAGGATTATATCTGGCCATTGGCAAGCAGTGACTACCTGTCAGTTTCCAGTGTCTGGTACATTTGTCCTCAGCCCCGCTGGATGGGCAGTCTGACTGTGCACACCCAGTGCTCGCTCAGCCCCTCTGATGGGCAGTCTGACTGTGCACACCCAGTGCTCTCTCAGCCCCGCCGGATGGGCAGTCTGACTGTGCACATCCAGTGCCCACTCAGCCCCACCGGATGGGCAGTCTGACTGTGCACACCCAGCGCTCACTCAGCCCCGCCGGATGGGCAGTCTGACTGTGTGCCCAGTGCGTGGGCATCAGCAGGCAGCACTAGACTTTGAGAGGGGTTCTGTCTTTCAAAGGTAATGCTTTCAGAGGTCTGATTATTCAGAAGTAATAGGTTCCTGCCTGTATTGTATGGAAGCATTAACTTAAATATACTTGAAAGTAATAATAGTAGATGCTCCTTTTGCAGATATTATGCATTCATGTAATATTCTCTCTATTGAAGTTACTGTAGGATTTCCTGATGGAGTAAAATTGTTGTCATCAGCGCGTAAGTCTTTCATATTCCAAAATCTGACAATTTCCACTGATACTCATGTATTCAGCCCTTCTCCTAAGGTTTAGAATTTGTAGATACTGTAAGGAAAGAAGGAGGGCACATTAGCATCTTCATTTCTACCCACAGTTCTCCGGGGAGGACTCTGTATGGACCCACAAGCTGCCCTGCCTCTCGACAGGGGGAGATGTCATTTCAGTGCATGTGTCTAGTTTGAAGCATCAGCAAAAAAATTCAGCATCATTATAAGACATAGCGATGGGTATTGGTTAGTTACTATCATGTTTTTGTTCTTGCCCATGTAAACCCTGAAAACTCCTGTGATATTTTCATGCGTTTCTCTCTCCAGCTCACCGTGTAGGACTCTCTCTACTGCTGCCCATCGGAGGAGGTGGGCGAGAGAAAATCCACTGCTTAAGATTAGTACAGTTACTGGTGACAGTAGCCGATATTATACACCCTGTCCTTCCAGGATTAGTGTTCACTCTTAAGATTCCAGGAACAGGAGAAACTAATTATTTTAAAGGGTCTTAGAGTGAGATTGCACATACTGATAGGTTTTAAGGCTCCTCTCTCGTAATTAAGGTGACTCATCTGATATTGCTGATTTTTAGGGTTGTGGGCGTAATGTTTATAATTGACTCTTACAGACTCGAGGTTAGCTAGGAAGAAACTTGACCTTTCTTTGCTGTTTTCTAGTATTTCCTTCTGTGTGATTTTCATTCAGGTTTTCCTCTACATGTACTTCTTAGATATATCTGTAGCTATTTTCATTAATGGCCACAGGCAGTTTTTACTAAATGTGACTGTTTAGTGGACCATGTATAAGTGTATTCTCTAGTTAGCAGCAGTTTTAATTCATTTTTTATAAATGGATTTTTACACTTTACTAACTCTTTTGTATTAGAGTAGACATTATGAAGTTAAAGGGAAAATAGGGTAGAATTAATAGACACCCCCCTTCAACCCTGCCTTTTGGGAATGATATACCTGAATCACTTTATTTGTATTTTCCAAAGCTTTCTTGCTCCTAAAAAAACAGCAACAAAAAAAGCCTGGTCCCTGGTCGGTGTGGCTCAGTTGGTTGGAGTGTCATCCAGTACACCAGAAGGTTACGGGTTTGATTCCCATTCAGGGCAGGTCCGGTAGGCAACCAGTCTCTCTCTCCCTCTCTCCCTGTCCCTTCCCCTCTCCCTAGAATCAATAAGCATATCCTCGGGTGAGGATTTAAAAAAATCTGAGAGAAGTCAACTTTATAACTGATGTCAGTATAAGCCACTGGGACTCACATTATCAAATTGTGTATTATATTTGTAAACTGAACAACTTCTATTCTTGACTGTTTCTAATCTTAGTAAAGATCAAAAATACTGGTCACAGTCTTGAGAAAACTGTTTGTGGACTTGGAAGAAATCATTTAACTACTCAGGATGTTCTCCACAATAAAGAAGTCCTTTATTTTTCTATATTGGTCAGTTTCCAACACTTTTGAAGCTTTCTACAAGTTCACTCAGCCATAAATTAAAGATGACCTCAGCTCTTCAGGAAGATAATCCTGGGAGTTAGCAGTGTTAGGGAGTCGCCAGGAGGGTTAGGGAACTTTAGAGGACAGCTGACCCCTGAACAATGGGGTTAGGGGCACCGACCCTGCACAGTGGAAAATCCACGTATAACTTCTGACTCCCCCAAAACATAACTGCTAATAGCCTACTGTTGACAAATAGCGCAGCAGTCCATTAACACGTATTTTGGATGTCACATGTGTTATATACTGTATTCTTACATTAAGGTAAGCTAGAGAAAAAATATTATTAAAATCATAAGGAAGAGAAAATATATTTACAGTATTTATTGAAAAAAATCTGCCATAAGTGGGCCCACACAATTCAAACTTGTGATGTTCAAGGGTGAACTGTGTGTTTGCTGCGGAAAAGGAGGCGTCGACGTGGAAAACGCTGACAGTGGGTGACCCTGATAAGGACCTGTTTGCTCCGGGCCCGGTCAGCCCCCAGACAAGGTCTGAGGCGCTCGGCCAGTTTTCCCCTCCTCGTTTCTTCCTGCCCCTTTCTAGTCCTTGCTCTGCACCAGCAGACCCTCTGGCTAACATGGAAGGAGCACGTGTCACCTTGATGACATCTCCGGCCTAGGAATTAGTGTCTCCGCCACTCAGAGGCCACCAACCATGCGTAGCTGGTGCAGGTGATGAGGAAAGCTGAGGGGTCCTCAGGCTCAGCCGGAACCAGGAGAGAATGAAGGGACATACCCAGCATGACACAGAAAGCAAATATGTGACAAAGACCGTGCTTGAGACTGACTGCCGTGGAGACAGGACAGTGACACAGGCTGGGACTTCCACCGACTGGATGTGTTCCCATCCCGAAGATCCCACGTCGCCCCAGAGTGACCTTCGGTGCGTTTTCCCTGGCCTCCGCCCCGCTGTAGTGTTTGCAGGCACCCGAGCCTCGTGCTGTGGCAGCCGCGGCCGGTGGCCTGTCACACCCTCGGGCCCTCCTCCTCGCACAGCCCCTACGTGATTTGAGGTTCCTTCAGTTGAGTGGCTTCCCATCGATTACGTTTCCCGGTTACATTTTCCGTTGGGCGTCATTGCATGTCATCAGGAATTGTTTTCACCACTTTGTTTTTATTTTCACCTGGATATTGTTTGACTTTCCTGTCTACATTTGTGGGGAGGACATTCCTAGGTTTTCACTCCTTTGTTGTTTCCTTTTATCATCTCTCATTCTGTTCCTCATAGTTTGCCAAGATCTTGTTATCGTTAGGCTTGGACAGTAGGATTTCCTCGCTGTTCCTGTCACACGCACTCGGAATTCAGTAGTCGCTGGCCCTGAACACCCAGTGTCTCTGCGGTCCCTCCCCGCTGTCCCGCTTACCTTTGTAACTGCCTTTCTGTGTCTCTCAAATGCTGGCAGATGTGCAGCTCCAGTTGGATATTAGACCATCTCTCTGTATGCTTATTTTTTCTTAAAATGTGACCTAGGGTAGTTCTTTCTCGCATTTACTCATTTGGGCCATATCACTTTAGCACCACATCCAACTGAGCAAATGTGCCTTTTTTCTGTTTCACGGGGAACAAAGAAGAGGCCTGGTTTTTCTAATAGTTACGCCCCCCACCACCACACTCTCTTGCTGAGAAACATATACAGCAAATCATTTACTTTTCCATCTTTCTCTACAGGCATTTTCACCTGCTTTAATTCCGTGTAAAAGTCTTCCTGTGGGCAGAATTTTCACATTGGACTAGAACAGTTGGACATCCCAAATACACGGTTTAATCCCATAATTTTTTGAAGCCTGTCAGATTTATTATTCAACTTGATCATCAGGATGGCATGTTTATACATATTTAATTCCTTGTTTCTCTTCTGAGTTGAGGAACTTATTAATCTTCAGTCTCAGAACTGTCGTTGCTTATTCATGGTGGCCAGGGCCATACTCTTAGATCCACGCTGCTGAATTCAGGGTTCTCACTGATTGCTCTTTCAAGCAGCTACCTGCCACCTTGTAGAAGTCTCACTGTTGGCTCAGTTTCATAAAAGATAACATGCTTTCCCCATTGTCAGCATCACCCTACATACTCCTGATCTGATATTCAGTATTTCAGCCCCAAAATATTTTATTCAGTTTTAGTACACATAAGTTTAATATGCTTAGAGAAGGGTGGTTTTAATTCTGTTACATAAAACTACTTGCAACTACTTAATAGTTCTTTCACCTTTGATTTCTAAAATCTGGAGCATTCTATTTTAGAATACGGACAGTTACTGCAGATAACTGGATGTCCTATGTTTCTGCATCTATGAGTGTTAATTGAATGGAGCTGGTTCTGAGGCACACTTTTCTGTGTATGTCCATGGTGAGTGATCCTTTTAAGAGACTCCAAGTTTCTGATCTTTGCCAGTTGACTGTGGAATCTTTCATATGAAGGTTGAAATCCAAGGGTTGAGTTTAAGGAGAAATATTTCTTTCAGAGGCGTCTAGGTAAGGTGATAACTCAAATTGTGTCTACTCCTCTTACTTTTATATCTACTGCTGGTCAGTTTTTTAATGCCTGATCTTTAACTAACCTAATGTCTACATAGTTATAGCTTAGTCACTGATAACTTAGGAGTGGGAGATTGGTCATTTTGTAAGATACTTTAAGACAGACATTCTGACTTGAATGATTGTGCATAATTCACTTTATTTAATGGTGACTCTGCATTTCTTTTTTTCCCTCCGGTGGCAGTTTGTTTTAAATTCCATCAGAAATGTTCATTATTTGTCTCCAATTTCAATAGCAACAGTGCTAGTTTCTAATGAATAGAAGAATATGTCCAGAAGTAGATTCTGTGTTTAAAAAGCACACGTTTAATTTGCAGTCCCACCCCGTAATCTGATGATCGATATCCAGAAAGACACTGCCGTGGAGGGTGAGGAGATTGAAGTCAACTGCACTGCCATGGCCAGCAAGCCGGCCACGACCATCCGGTGGTTCAAGGGCAACAAGGAGCTGAAAGGTGAGTGCACTGCCTGCACTGCGGTCTGCCGTCCGCACGGCCCCAGCGGGGCCTCCTGGGAAATGCAAGACACAGCTCGTGCCCCGAGCAGAAATATCCATGGAGGTATGTTTATCGTCACTTACTAAACGCGTCGGAGGCAAAGCATGACTGCATATCTTGTTCTAATTCATGTCCTCATGCTGGGGTTGGAGGTTTGTGGCGGTGTCGCTGTAAACTGGGACTCTGTCATCAGGAGGACTGCTGTTAGAGTTGTCCCCCGGGCTCAGGCTGTCCTGTTGTTCCCTCAGTTCTCATTGCTTGTGCCCTATGACTCAGGGTGGTCAGAACTCCAAATCCTCATGTTACACATTAAAAATTATCACAGTCCTTACCGTGGTGAATCCCAAGTCATTCTGGCATCTGCTGCACTGTCAGCTGTGCTGTCAGGGTCCTCTCCTACAGCAGTGGCTGGCAGGGTGACTGAGAATTTGATCGTATTTGTGAGTCTGCAGACACCACCTTTCTGGTGAAACCTGCAACCCAGTCACCCATTTCCCCACCTTGTTCTTTTGCACAGTCTCTGATGTGATGGCCACGCAGGCAGCCCCGGCACCCGGCTCCCGCTGTCTCTCTCCCCAGGGCTAGGCCATTCCAGGCTTGGTTCCTGGATCTCAGACACCTGCTGCCTGACCCATTGCATCTGCTACCTATCTGGCCCTTTCTGTCAGCTGTCCTAAGCCCTCATATGTGTCAGCTTTCCGATTCCTTCTTTTCAAGAGGTCGCCCTGCAAGTAGCAGCCAGCACAAAGGACTCGGGCTGACTCCTGCCCATTAGACAGGAACGCTGGCTGTGTGCCTCAGTTTTCTCTGACATGGAGACATTGATATTATATACAGCATGTGATTCTCACAAACATGAAATGAGTGAATTTTCCTACTGCATGTAGTATCTGGGCCAAAGTAAATGCTCTGTATGTGCTTGTTAAATAAATGAAGAGTGCCAGGAAGAAAAGAGCAAGTCCTTTTAGAAAGGGGATATAGAAAAATCTGTATCTAGAAACAGACAAATCTATATATAAGAGCTTAAGTTTCAAAAAGCTTGCTGTGTTTTAATCTCCCGTTTCCTAGGTGTGGTTTTGGAAGGAAGGAGTTTCTCATTTCCCCTCTGCTTCTCTGTCTGAGTGAATTGAGCCATTAAATGTGTACCGATAAGTACAAAACATTAAAAGAAAGTTAATGGCGCGTCTTGTCCTGGGGGTGCGGGTTGAGGCACGGGGCTGCCTCGGCCTATTCATCGCGTCCGGAAGCCTCCGCCCTCCTTTTCTGGGTGTTCTTGGCCCTGTCTCATCTGGCCTGAAGCCTGGGGCTTCCTTTGCTCTCCCCACGCCACTGCCTTTTTTGTAGTCTTTCAAAAGTCTCCGAGTTTAAACATGTCAATTACGATTTCAATTATGCAAATACATTTTGTTACTTTCCCACTTAATTGATGCTGGTAGGGTCCGGTAACGGTGTTTATACTTCGCCTCCTGATTAAGTGCCTGGGGGCTCTGGGTGATGTCCTGGGATTTCTAAACCTAGTGATAGCCTAGTAGAAGGTTCAGTCCCGCGGCTCGTAGGCTGGAAAGCTCTTCTGCCCTCCTTCTCCCGAATGCTCTGAGCACCCGGTGCCAGGAAGGTCCAACCTTCAGCTGCCTTTTTGTGGGAGGTTTTAAGATAAAAGAAACATATGTAAAATATTTAAATAAAAATGGTGTATATATATTAAATGCTACCTCACAAGGTTGAAATGTAGGAAATTATCATTTTGTCAGTCATCTACCCACAGACTGTCTTATCCCAAATGACTTCCACCATTTTTGTTAAAATAGTAACGCTGGGCAGGGAGGAGAGGAGGGGAGGAACGCAGCGCGGTAGAAATGCACTCATCTTCTGGTTTCTTGGTGTATTCTGTGTCCCAGGCAAATCGGAGGTGGAGGAGTGGTCGGACATGTACACCGTGACCAGTCAGCTGGTGCTGAAGGTGCGCAGGGAGGACGATGGCGTGCCCGTCATCTGCCAGGTGGAGCACCCCGCCGTCACGGGCAGCCTGCAGACCCAGCGCTACCTAGAAGTGCAGTGTGAGTACCTGCGTCGGGCCGTTCAGCGCGGCAGCAGAGGCCGCAGCCGGGGGGCCGGCAGCTTAGAAACATCAGAAATGTATTTCGCGCGGTTCTGGAGGCTGGGAAGCCCAAGGTCAGGGCGCCAGCGCGGGCATGTTCTAGGGAAAGCCCCTTCCTGGCCCACGGCTGGCACCTCTGCTGTGTGCTCACCTGTGAAGGGGCTAAAGACCTCGGTGGAGCCTCCGTCCTAAGGCACTAATCCCACTCACGGGGGCCCCGCTCTCATGACCTGAGCACCTCCCGAGGCCCCACCTCCAAATACTATCACACGGGGCACTGGGACACACACTGGAGCAGCGCCCCAGTGTTCTCTTCTGAGGGCACAGAGTAGCCACTGCTTAAAACATTTCAGACGCCATTTATGGAAGACATATGTTTTTAGGTCGCATAGATAGAATTTTTACCTTGTTGTCTTGGTAGAAAAATAAGCAAAGGATTATCTTACTGAAACACTACCGTATTACTGAGTGCCAGGGAGGATTTCAAAAATACTAGATTCAATCTAAATATGAAACTTTAAAATGATTCCAGTCTGCTCTAGCATATGAGTTAATTAAATTTTGTGAATATTGACTATAATCACTTCTGTGTCAACTTCAAAATCTAGGGCAATCCCCTGCCCCCTTCACTAACCCATCATAAGTACTGCATTTTTGTAGAAGAGATTTTATTTGCATTCTGCATCAGCAGTCTGTTTTAAATTGCACGTTCTCTTAGTAGGGAGTTGAAAGCGGGCCTCTTTGGGCTCAGTGCCACAACCCTGCTGGCCTCACCAACAAAAGCCGTATCGTGGGGAGTGAGGTTATCTCCTCACTGTGTCCTGTGGACAGAAGGTGTTCTCTTCCCCTTCTTTTCTGGGCTCTCCTACTTGAGAAAAAAAATCTGCTTTCTGCACAAAATCATCCTTGTACCAGGGTTGTGTCTGAGTAGCAGCTTCTCACTTTTCATCAGAAGGCTCCTGGAACCTGGCCTCTGATGGGTTCTGGGAGACTTGAGTGTGCACAGTGAACATGTGGCAAGTGTGTGGTGGGATGGCAGTGACTGGGTTTCTGATAAAGGAAATGCATTGCCCTCTGTGAATTCTTCTGTTACTTCTCAGGGCTGCAGTAAAATCACCACAAACCTGGGACTTAGAATAGCAGAAATGTATGGTCTCACAGTTCTGGGAGACACAAGTCTGAAAGCAAGGTGCTGGCAGGGCCAAACTCCCTCTAAAAGCTCGAGGAGGGAGCCTTTCTTGCCTCTTCTGGCTTCTAGTGGTTCCAGGTATTCTTTGGATTGTAGCCACATCACTCCAATCTCTGTCTCCATCTGGACATGGCCTTCTCCCTTTCTGTTTGTCTCTTATAAGAACACTTGTCATTGGACTTAGGGCCCACCCAGAGAAACCTAGAATATCCTTATTTCAAGATCCTTAACATAGTTACATCTGCAAAGACCCCTTTTCCAAATAAGGCCACAGTCCCAGTTTCCAGGGGTTAGGAAGTGGGCGCATCTTTTGGGGGCCACCGTTCATCCTCCTACAGTATCATATATTTAAATTGAGCAAAGCAAGGGATAGGGAAAGTTATGAAAAGTTTCTTCTAAGAGACCACCATCCCATTCCAAGTGTTTCTTACACCGTGAGTTTAGCTCAATTTAACATTACATAATGCAGGTTTTTCTTGTTAATTCATTTCATCTGCTTCATTATGGAGCTTCATTATGGGCATCATGCTTATAATTTTCATATCACTAAAACTATTGTGGTGTAATGTCCCTATAATGGGAAAACATAAATGATCAGATATTATCTAAATTGGCAGATAGTAGATTTCTTTTGACTTTGTTAATATGTAATTCATTTAAGCAAACTTAATATCCATTAACTTCCCTTGTAGGGGCCCATTAGCTTTAATAATACATTAGCTTCTTTGTGAGACCTGAGTAGATACTCACCCAGTCCCCACCCCCAAACTTTTAGTAGCTTCCCAGAGTATCTCCTAAACAGAATGTAACCCACCCGCCTACAGTTACGCTCCCTCCCAAAGGCCAGGCATTCCAGGCACTGCCCCTCCGACCCCTTGGGAGACTTGATCATGATATTTATAAGCCGTGTCTTCCTTATGCTGTAGATTCCAGTGGCATTTGTCCCTTAAGGAAAGGAACAAAGCCCCATATCTGAATCCATTTCACTTCAATCTACAAAGTACCGCCAGCCCCTAACGGCAGGAGAGCAACTGTGATGCCTCTGCAGATGCAGACACGGCTGTTGATCATTTGTAACACTAACACGGCATCTTTTTATGGGAGGCACACAAACATTTTATCCTCAATACTCCATATTTCAGGATGTATGTAAAGAAAAGAATTTTTGCATAAAAGAAGGTTAAGAATTACAAAATATTATACCTTATTCTGAATGGAATTTAGAGTCTGGTCTGGCATCCTAAATAAGACTCTCTCTCTTCAAGAAAGTCACCTGCTGGTTCACTCCCCTCCGTTCCCAGAGCACCCCTGAGAAATTGGCTGAGTCGGCCAGGAATTCCTTAAGTAGCTTCTTCAAGAAAAGATTAACAAAATCATGCAGTCACGACACTTTGTTCACAATTTAAGAAGTCTGGCCCGGCCAGGTGTGGCTCAGCGGTTGAGCGTCAACCTGGGATCCAGGCGATCGGGGTTCGATTCCCGGTCAGGGCACATGCCTGGGTTGTGGGCTCTATCAGTGACTCTCTCATCATTGATGTTTCTGTCTCCCTCTCTCCCCCTCCTTTCCTCTCTCTGAAATCAATAAAGATCTATAAAAAAAAAAAAAAAAAAAAAAAGTCTGTTGACCGTACAGTTTTCCCAACTTCAGTTATTTGAGGGCCACTTTGACAAGTTTTACCATATCAACAGATCATCTGTATTCTTACTCCATTTAGAATTTAGCTTTAAGTCACTTTATTGCTTTAGCCTACCCAAGACCTATGTAAAAAAATCTATAAAATTATAAGTTTTATTTGCTATGTATATCTAATAAAGATTAGTTAAAATAAATAAATATACAACTATTATGTTTTAAGTGGTTTTTCCTTTGCCCCCTAAAAAGATTTCTTATATTATCAGTGATAAATATTGACTTATCACCAAGAAATACTGAGTTCATCCCCAAACCTCAGATTAAGCATTGCTCTCCTTGGGGGCAAATCTGACCTGTGGGATTAGTGTTCAGTATAACCCCTCGGCTCAGCCTGGCCCATTTTGTTACATGGTGGCTATCAAACCTCTTTCTCATCTAAGAGGATGTGAACAGGGTTAAATGATAGATAATGGACTTAAATTCTATGTAAATTATGTCCTCTTAAGAATACTGTTTTTTATAAAAGAAATGAAATAATGAAAATCTACACTGAATGCCATTAAATATCTTACTTTAACTAGGACAGGAAAGGGAGGCGGGAAAAGTGAGTACAGTGCTACCATACTGCGTAGAAGACAAGGCTTGAGCTGCAACTTGGAATTGCTTTTGTCTTGTGGATTTAAGTCCTAATTAATTGAACACAGAATTTTGCAGTGCTTTTTGTTAGGATCCTTTATTTGTGGTACCAGGAGAAATTGTTGTGCCCAATTATGTGAAAAATCAGCCAGATGTGGAAGCTGTCATACTTTTAATAATCCTTAGATTTTTGGTGAGTGCAGATATTAATTGTGTAGTATGCATTAAAGTGATTAACATCAGTGTAATTTATCATCTGGAGATTTCTGAACATAAATAAATGAGTTGTTTTGTTCACAAGGTGTTGACCCCTTCAGAATTAGTGAATTAAAGCCCCCTCCCCCCTTTTTATTATAAATATGAAAGCACCACGATCAGCCAAGTGTTCAGTTATTTGATTTTCTGGGGCATTAGCTGCTCTTGTTTGTGACATTTCCCTGTTGGGTGCTCGTTTGCAAGCTCATTAATAAGGTTTTCTCATAGGAACGTTGCTGGGAACGAAGACCATACAGTAGGGCTCTTAGCCTCCCAGCTTTCGTTCTGAGACTCGGCAAGGATTCAGCAGCAGCATGCAGTTAAATGTTTAAAACAGAAAATAATTATGCTTGCAAGATGAAATGCAGAGCTCTCTTTCCTTAGCTGTTACGCAGAAAACAGTTTTGCTTTTGAATGTTCTGAGCTACATGACCCTAAATTCTTTCTGTGCGTGTTTTTATGCCGAGGTGCGTAGTGTTGCTGGAATTTACAACGTGGTTAATTACAGCAGAGCGCAATACAATTGTAACCCAGTTAGCGAGCTTCAGATCTGGGGGAGCGCACTCTTGTCAAATACAGGCCTGTGTAAACGAGAACAGTGCACTGTCTGTGCGTTAAAGGAAAACTGTCTAAATAGCATCAAGGTGGCAACACATAGCGACATAAGCTGGGAACTGAAAGGAAAGCTGTGACCCTCAGTGTGGAATTCGGATCATCGTGCAAAGAGGGGAAAACCTGGCTGTGGACCGAGGGGAACCTGAAGCTCTTGAATTACTGCTGTGTCTGTTGCTTTCTCCCCTCATAGCCTTGCTCTTTAAAGTGTTCTTGCAGAACTCCTTGTTTTGTGAGGGTTTTGTGTGTGTGCGTATTTATAAAAAAATAAATAAATAAATAAGAGACGAGTCTTGAAAGGGAGCGTGAAACAAAGACTCCAGAACTGGGTGTCTGAATGCCTTCCCTGCTGATTACCGTCTGACAGCTAATCGTGTTGGAGAGCAGCATTTCAGAATGTGTTGTATTGACTCGTGGAGTCAGGTATTTTGTAAATCCATGTTCTTGTTCATCCAAGGTCCAGAGAAGGCTAGAGTTTTTCTTTCATTCCTCAATTGGTGGAAAATTGGGCGTTGAGATGATCAAACCCTGTTCTTTATCTGCACCAGAATAAATGTTTCTCGGCGTCCACGGTGCCCTTCAGTGAAGGAGGGAGGGAAACCTGGAAACGGGAGCCTTTCCTGTTCCACGGGGA